ACAAGGCTAAATTTGAGCTGTCAGTGAAAATCCACTTTGCATAAGAATAACTGCTAAACTACTTTCACGTACATTTATAATTCAATGATAAGCAGAAGTGCTAGGTGATGTGATTTTTGTCATTTTATTTAACCCCTTTGCCAGCAGGGGCCCGCATTCGGGCCGTCGCGGCGTAGGTGGGCGTGTCTATAATATTTATGGCATTTGTTCCGTCAATATATACAACCTTGTGTCAAAATCTATGCATTGTTTGAAAGCTATAAACTTCAAGATTCATGTTCTGAGCTTGTTTTTTAAATCAATGTACCACAGAGGAAAGGGTTAAATGAAATCACGAAGGACCGCCCATTTAAACATGTGCAAAATTCACCGCAATACTTACGTTTTATCGCCTGTAGTTCTGATCAGCGAGGACGACTCCAAAAAACAACTACATCCAAGATGGTGCAAGGGTTCACTGTCCAAAATGCATACCAGCTTTTGATCCAAAACAATGGAACAATTTGGGAAAAAACGAAAAATACTCCATTGTTTACAAAGATCATTTCAAGATGCAGTAACCGGTAACGACCCTTTTTGATGAAAAATAATTTTATATCCGTATTCAATCGATGAAAAGTCCCTGTTTTCTCAAAGTTTAGTCTCTTCCGTGCAAAATAAGCCCTCCTTCGTCTCCCTCCTTCAATCAGAGGCGTTGTTGTTGTTCTAAAAAACAAAGGCAGTGCTTGACTGGTTCAACGAGGTGTCAATCTTCACACCTCATTTTCTACTTGTCAAAGCCAGCCAATGTGTAGACAGCAACGTTTTGATGGATGGAAGTTGTAGCCAATTAAAAGACCTTTACAGTGACACGCTGTTTACGTAGTACACATGTGTGTATACACATATTACACGTGCGTAAATGTATTAGTCACTCGTGCGCCCTCGTCAGTACGCGTCGTGTGCATAGAGCGCAGTGAGACATCGCTTGTTCTTTTTACCGATCGATCGCCTTTCCGAGTTTTTCCAACTATGGATCGTCAAGTTCAGAGGAGTTTTTGCGGTGTTCAGAGTGTTTTGGAGGAGATAATGAGAAGCAGCGACGAGGAGCAGCAAAGGGATGCCGAGACATGTTTCTCAGACAAGGAGAGCACGGCGACGAGTGTCGATTCTGCCCAGGAAGACATGTTTGTTGATGGACTCGATCCCGTTTTAGATCGGTAAGTTTCTGTACCATTGTTTTGAATGTTCGAAACTGTATTTGCAGTTTTTGTTTTAGCACAGCGGCATTTTGATTAGTAAAGTAACATCAAGAGGGACAATGAAGGGCATACACGAGTTAGCCAAACTTGCATCGTGTTTATAAAGATTTCACGTCACTTATAAACGCGTAAATCCGATGCACTGACGAAAAAATTACTGATAGAACAGATAACAAAGTAAAATAATGTGGAAGGAAGTAAAAGTGCAAATGGTTTGTACATTGTTTATCGTGTATTTGCATTTGTTGTTTTATGCTAGCTGTTTTTGATCACCAAACAGTGGACAACTGGAGGTCATATGCTGTTATATAGTGTCCATATGCACTTCATATATTTTGCATTGTTTTTATAATGTAAAAACATTTACAAGGTAATAATATTTGGGTGAAGGTAAAAACATTACAAATTATTTTATTGAGCATTATTTTCAAAAGTTATGGTAGGCTTTTGCAATTGTAAAATGAAGGAATATTGATGCTTGTAGTTATGGTATGTCTCTAATATATGACTAAAATCCTTTTTTCATTGTTTTTATTATAATGTAAGAAAACATTTACAAGGTAAAGATAATTGGGAGAAGGTAAAATATTACAAATTATGTATTATATTGAGCATTATTATCAAAAATAGTTTTAGCCTTTTGCAAGTGTAAAATGAAGGACATTTACAAGGTAAAGATAATTGGGAGAAGGTAAAAACATAAAAAAAATATTTATTTTATTGAGCATTATTTTCAAAAGTTAAGCTTTTGCAATTGTAAAATGAAGGAATACTGGTGCTTATAGTTGTTGTATGTCTCTAATATATGACTAAAATCCTTATTTGCTTTTATGTGTTTCTCTGTGCTAGAAATAGGCCTTCAGACACCGATGAGGACTGGAATCCGGAGACCAGTCCTGTACGACGGAAGAGAAGACGGCAGTCATCTTCATCATCTTCATCATCTCCAGCTCCATCTTCTGTAACTATGAGAGGGAGAGGGAGAGGGAGAGGAAGAGGAAGGTGGAGGGGGAGAGGGAGAGGGAGGGGGAGAAGGAGCAGATGCCAGTCAGTGTCTGATGTGTCCCCTGGCACCTCACATGCAAGATGGAAGGATATGGATGAAGATGACAGTGGGCCTCCCCAGCCCGTGTTTAGGCCTGCTCGTGAACCTGGGCCACAGTTGGTGACAACTGACAGATACTCACCGCTGCAGTTGTTCCAGCTTTTTTTTACTCCATCTGTGTTGCAGACCATCATGCAACACTCTAATGCCTATGCCACCAAACAACGCCAGGGAACAGACAAGTCATGGAAAAACATCTCTGTGGAAGACCTGAAGTCTTACCTGGCGCTTGTGATTTTCATGGGTCTCTTGAAGGTTTGTGCTTTGACAGACTATTGGAGGAGGTCTGACGTGTACAGTGTTCCCCTTCCTACAAGGATCATGTCCTGTAGGAAGTTTCTGAACATCGCTAATGCTCTTCATCTTAGCGATCCTGTGGATGACGAAGCAAATGAAGGCAGGAAGGGAACCGCAGCCTATGACCGCTTGGGGAAGATCAAGCCTTTGTATGACAACATCAGGGATGCCTGCAGAGCGTTTTATCATCCTGGTCAAAACATCTCCATAGATGAAAGGATGGTGGCATCCAAGGCGAGGTCTGGACTCAAGCAGTACATGAAGAACAAACCCACTAAATGGGGCTACAAGCTTTTTGTTTTGGCAGATTCCCAGTGTGGTTACACATCAGAGTTCTTTGTGTACGAAGGTAAGCGCATGTCATCGCCGAATGGGCTGAGCTATGAGTCTGTCATGGCACTCATAGATGAAAAGTATCTGGGCACTGGTTATAAGCTGTACGTGGACAACTTTTACACCAGTCCCAAGCTTTTCAGAGACCTCCTCTCTAAGAGGATTTATGCATGTGGCACCATCCGTCCAAACAGGATTGGTTTTCCAAAAATGGCCACCAATAAGCTGCCACAGGATGCTCCACGAGGGTCAATGCGATGGATCAGAGAGGACGACCTGCTGTTTGTGGAATGGAAAGACACCAGGGAAGTGCTGATGTGCTCCACTTTCCACAAAGCATATGGAGGTGACATAGTGGAAAGGAAGAGCAAGGACAATGATGGGCAGTGGTCTACTGTGCATGTGCCAATCCCTGGTGCTGTGCTGGACTACAACAGGTTCATGGGGGGAGTGGACCTGTCAGATGCCCTCATTTGTTACTACAAAGTGCTTCACAAGACACGGAAGTGGTACCGAACCTTCTTTTATCACTTTGTCGACATCGCTGTTGTCAATGCCTTCATTTTGCATCAAAAACTGGCCAGAGCAAAGAAGGAAAGACCCCTGACCCAGAAAGCATTCAGGGAAACGCTTGTTATGGAACTTGCAGGTTTAGAATCAGGTGCTTCTCCAATCCCAACTCCATCTACCATCTGCCACAATCCCAAGTACATCTCGGGTGACAGCACTTCTGGACGACGAAAATGCAGAGTTTGCCATCAGAAGACGCCAGTCATGTGTGCAACATGTGAGGTGCCACTGTGTTTCCTTCCAAAACGGGACTGCTACAATGACTGGCATCGGAGGGAGGGGAAATATTGATTAGTGTGTTGTTTGTAGTCTGTCATGTTCCATTTTTATTTGCACTTTATATTGTTCAAAGTGTTCAAAACTAATAGTTGTTCAAGATTTTTTTCCAAGTTTAGGTGGAGTTCAGACCCTGAGACCCAGTTCCAAGGAGGTGTGGATTGATGAACAACAATACACATCCAGTAAGTTTTGATCTTATGTTTTCACTGGTAATAGTAGATTCAGTTTGTTAATATTTATTTATTTTTTTATATTGGCTGTCTCTGTTTCCTTCTTTTTTAGTGTGTATCTTCTGTGAAAATGTGACAGGCTGGCATGAGGCAGTATACTCACACACACACACATTTATACACGTTTTACAGAGTTGATTTGTTTTACTTACACACTTTTTCTGTCTCCGTTTCCTTTTTTTTGCCGTGGGTTTCTTCTGAGTCTGGGTTGTTGAAGAAAATGTGGCACGAGGTAGTATTATGTAAGTACTCGCACATGTACACATCTATACATAGTTACAAAGTTGATTTGTTCTGCTTTTACAGTTTTTCTGTCTCTGTTTCCGTCTCTGTTGCAGTGGATGTCTTCTGAGTCTGCACTTTTGAACAACACGTAAAATGCTGACATGAGGCAGTACTAGGTAAGTACTCACATGTACACATTACAGTCTTTCACATTTGATTTGTTGTGCTTGCACACTTTCTAACTTTCTCTCTGTCGCTTTCATGTCTTTCAGCATCTTTGGTTTCCAGTTGGATAGACAGCCAACCTTTGTATTGTCTTTAGTGTAAATAGTTGCATTGTTGAACAAACATTAAAATTAAAATTTTGCTGTTAAAATTTTTAAATAAATTTTTTTGAATTCTTCAAGTGTTTGTTTTTCCTAAATTCATCAAGTTTTTTCTTATGCATATGTACAGTATGCAGTATCTAATATCATTGGGAGTATCCAAATAGCCATTTTTAAAGGTTTCTTAGAACTATCTTGAAATAAAAGCTTACAAAAACTAAAATGCAACTTGATTTCCCAAAAAAAAAAATTCACAAAAGACTAGTCTAGGCGTTGACAACTCTGAGCCAGTTGAAGATGCCAAATGGACACCAGGTAACCAGATAAGTTAACACCACATTGTTGATCTGAAATAATTTTTTTCTTGTCTTTTTTCCCTGATTTGGTGGGCAGAGCAGTTCTGAATCAATTTGCATGTTTGTGTTATGTATTTTTGACCCATTTGGGCACTTGGTTACCAGGTGTCCATTTGGAGTCTCCAAATGGTCTTTTTAAAAGGACGCCTAGACATTTTTTAAATAAATGCTTACAGAAACCACATTTTTGGGAGTATCATCCTCAAATTTGAATTACAGCATGGGCATACATGCATCTTTATATTCTGGTGTTTTTAAACCATTACCATTCAATTAACATCCATTTTTTCATGAGTGTAATCTACTAAACTAAGTCGCGAGTAATGTTTTTCTATTTTTAACAATATTTTACTATATTGCTATACAACTTTTGGGTCATTTAACTCTTAAGTAACAAACATTTAAGTGTCTAGTTTCAAACAAGACCACATTTGTGAAAATAGACCTTAGGGTTAGAAAGCTACATGCATTTTTATTTGGGCATGGCGTTTTTTGGAAAATGTTCAAAAATAGGGGCGCTGGTTATAGGGTTAAAGATGAATTTTCAGCTTCATTACTGCAGTCTTCAGAGTCATGTGATCCTTCAGAAATCAATCTAATATTAATTCATATTATTATTATTAATATCCTTATTATTAATGGTAATAGTAATAAAACCAATAATGACTGGAGTAATAACTTGAAACTACCTACTATAAAAAAATAGTAAAAATATATTTTTTTAAGACAAACAAACATGAAAAAAAAACTGACCCCAAAATTTTGGCTGGTAGTGTATGTGATTTAAAAAATAAGCTAAATTAAGCATGTACAATATTAAGCAGTGCAACTTTTCAAAATCAAAAATAATATTGCTTTTGATACATGATTTCTGAGGGATGGAATCCACAAAATGAATTAATGCCAATAATTCATATTTTTAATCACAGGAATAAAAATACAATTGATTGATTTGAAAAAAAAAAAAGATTATATATATATATATATATA